CTTTCCCAGACAGTGCTGGGAACTTGGTGGCCAGTTGGTTTGTTGTGACAGCTATAGCAATAGACCACACCAGATGATAGCTGTATGTTTAGGTACAGACAGAGAGGGAAGTTGAGCCGCTTGATGATGAGGCTGCCTGGATAGTTCTGGCTGATACTCCAGGTCTCATGAGAGCCCTGAAAATATGCCTTGCAAGAATAAACTTTGGAAGTTGTGCTGCTGGTGGCAGTCCATCACTTGCGCAGGGAGCGGGTGCTGTCAGGCCAACCTTGCATATTTATTAAGTCCTGTCACATGTAGGGGGTGAGATGCTACATGACATTCTCCTGCCACTAGAGAAGGCGTAGGGCCTACATAGCCAGCACAAATGGTTACTGCTCTGACCAGTAACATACAGGGCATGTCTCTCAAGTGCTGTGAACATAGCTGTAATCCATAGTGGTAAAGCTTAAGATGTCTGATGAGTGCTCACTCTTCATTGCAGCTTTTGAGGATGCTGACCCAGTTAAATACCTCCACTCTCCATCCAGAGCTCATTTCCTCATACTTGTACACACTGTTCATATGGTTTTCATTAGCTGTGTTAATACAAGCTAAGTTCATCCATCACAGCTAAGGATTGAGGGGAGCTGGTACCAAACAGCTAGGAAGTAGCTGCTCCTCAGTGTCTTGTAGCTCTTCCTAAGGGTGTGAATGCTTTTGCCCATTCATCTCCCAGTGTAACCCTGAGCTGGCTAGCTTAAGTTACTGGTAGCTTGCCCCAAGGCAAAGTGGAGGAGAAGCTCATACGGGAATTGGCTAGACTTACCTCAGACAGCAACAGAAATCAGTAAGAAATACTTTTTACCTGCATCAGTGTATGTATGTGACTTCCCTTCCAAGTCTATACTACCGCCTTCACCAGTAGGATATACTGGTTGTACTAATCTGGTTACCTTTGCCCTGGAGAAGAGGAGAAGAAGCTCCCTTACACTTAGTCCAGAGCTTAACATAAGTAAACAGCACTGACCAGAGTCACAGCAGACAGTTGCTGTCTTCCTGGTACTTAGATTTGGTTTACCTTCCACCCCCTACATATCCATACACAGACCAACACTACTTCGAAAACAAACAGGTTAATTTTCCTTCAGGGGCTGGCTCTGCCCAAGACAGGGCAGAGTTTATATCAGAGTTAAGCAATGGGGTGTTTTAAAGAATGTTGTTTATCACCTCTCTACTACTCATTACTAGCTCCTACTGAAAACCCAGCAAGTGTCTGCAGGCATCATCCCAGCTCCTTTCTTGGCACAGCTGAATAAATGCTCTTCTGTCACTGGCCCAACTATTTGATTTTGCACTAAAGGGACTTATGGTCACTTATACAAACAGTTTTCAAGAATAGATTTAAGAAGATGAAGATGTCACCTTTCAGCTACTGATAACTGTCTTGCAACACAGAGTGAGTCACTGGATATTTTTAACCCCAGCATGTGGAATACAGGCCTTGCCCACCTTTACACGTAGAGCATGAAGCAACATTTTCATTATGGGACAGGAATGGGCTGCTTTACTCATTTAACTGATGGTTCAGCACACAAAAAGGGCATTTTCTTGTGAATATGAAATATATTATATGGCAGTGTGATTTCAATAGCCATTTTTAAAAAAATGTTTCTATTTGCAGCACATGTATTTCAATACACAAAATCTTAATAGCAATCTTTTAAAAGTAGTTTTTATTTTTTTTTCTCATTCCATAGATATATAAACATATCTGTGCTCTTAAACATGTGAAGGTGTCTTTTTTTTTAAGCACTAACACAAACGGAGCATGAATAGGACCTGTCACAAGCAATGCTAACATCAGCTAAAAAAAATCCTCTCTGAGGCTACTAGTTCAAGGTCTTATCCATAAGCTTATATTTGCTGTACTGCAGCACCTGTAGATATAAATAATAAATGCAGATAATATTCATCAACCTTCTATACATCTTCTTAAACTGCACTCAGTTTATATCTATAATTAAACAAAGGGGCAGATAGAAATAAATTGGCTTGGTATTATATTGGCATTACGGTGGGCTAAGGTATGCTGCTTAGCTATTATTCTGGCTTTGCTTTACATTTCATTTTTTCTGGACTAAATGTACTCCGCCTTCTTTCCTCCCACCTCTCCTCACCTCAGATAAACCTGTCAGGTAGAAGACAGAAAATGCACACACATTGTAGGGATAAAAGAAGTAAGATCAAGTATTACCTGATAGGGCTTTCTTGTTTTCTTTGCTTGCTTGTTATTAGTTATTTCAGCTATTAAGAAAACACATTATACCTAACAGTCATTTGCATGACTATAAAGCTTGTACAGTAACAAGGATAAATTATGCTTAGCTTGGGTTTCATTTATAGCCCATAAAGGTCAGTAATTTATAAGTATTTCCCTCATAATCATCTTCTACATTTTCTCTCTTTTTAATTGGCTATTCAAAATGTACTGTGTATGCCCTGCCATTATGTTAAATTAACGAGATCTGATTTTAATCAAAACTGCTATTTTAATCACAGATGTTACCAGATGCCACTAAACCAAAAGAAAGCAAATATCTCCTGTTTTGCCATGCAGAGATAATAAACTTGATATCAAGTATGCTGCCGACAGCTGGAGTCCTCCATGTAGAAAAAGGCAGAGGAAGAGCTTCCTTTTCTTTGACTATGTCAAGCCTTTCTGTGGTTTTCTTTAGTGACAGTTCTGAATTAATCTTAGAAGCTGGATACAAAAAAATATATATCTTATTGACATGTTGTTGTATAGCGACTCTTTTTTATTATAACAATGTTGCCTTGTTTTAGAGATTGAAGATCATTACTTGATTCTACTACATCTGAGTGTGTTGATGATATGCACTATTGAAATTTAGTTTCTCCATTTATTTGTTTGTTAAAGTATGTTGACTTTATTATACTTGTGACTCATAAAAAACATATTCTCATGCTAACGATAAATATCTAATCTCTGATCTCTCAAATCTGGCATGTGCCTGCACATATATAACAACAAC